CCATACGGCAGGAAATAATTTTGCAATTTGATTTCAGTCTTAGAAGAACGACTTCGTTACGTGGCTGTTAGGCCGAATGCTTCAATAATGAAATTGAGAGAAAAAATATGGTATCTTCTAGATCTTCCGGACTATTGTGACGAAATAATAGTTCTTAAGTCAAACGACGCAAATGAAATACCGTTAACAGCTTTGTGTTACGGTAACGATCCGCAGCATCCTTATATTTTGGAGGTTTGGCTGCCTGAGAATCAGATTCTGTGTTAGTAAATTTAGCACGCAGTTTACGAACCAGATATAGTAGAAATAACTATTAATAAAATACTACATTTTTATTTGACAAAAGCATGGGCTTTATACGTCCACCAGAGTACAGCACTGGCCTCCTGTCATTTCTGAGACAGTTTCGCAGTTGAGTATAATACAGCAAAGGAGACTACTAAACTGCTCTGTACGTATACGTTGATGTATTTCACAACAATAGGTATGTTGTGAAATACATCAACGTGCACTCAAGCCGATGATGATTCTCAGATTGAGATGAATTCTCTCACGCTGCCTTTACTCTGCTTTATACAGTGGGGTGTATTAGCACTTAAAAATTGCAATTAATAATTTTGTTTGTCGGCATTAAAGGAGAAATCTCAGTTGAGATGTATAGATTGATCGATTATGTACTAAACTAAATTTAAAGCGAGCGTACTAGTACTACAGCGTTTCATACTTCTTTTTTTTTTTCATTACAGCCTATCAAAGGCCACCTGCTATAAATAAGCCTAAAATATAATAAGGGTTATTTTGCAAACGCCGGCCAAATATGGAGAGAAGGCTCAGAATAAGTAATATTACTTAAGCCAAAAGCTGAAAAAAATTGATTAAAAAAATCTCAAACATTCTGTCCTTTTTGTCTTTTAAATTCAAAACTCGTGATAATGCATTATCTACACTGGTTTTACTCCGCACGCACACATTCGTAAAGGTTGATGGGAAGGTAAAAAGTTGTTGCCTATAAATCACATCCAATTTGGGATAATTTCAAATAAAAGTAGAGGCCTTATTTGCCATTTTCAAAAACTACAATAACGATATACTTATCATTATTTTATATATATGAACTTAAGTTTAAAATTTGGCTACTCTTTGAAAAGTAACCCTGTATATTTACTCTTATGGCATATCTGCTATAGTCGCTACGTCTGGCATGCAGTTTGGCAATCACAGTTTTTATTTTTAGTTTTTAGAAGGTAGATGTTGCCGTCCATTTCCTGATTGGTTTCCCTCTGTCGCCCCTTACGATATCCATGGGACGATATGGTGTACAACAAAATACTTACTAATCTGTATTAGATACCAGTGCATTTTGAGGATACCTGCACGTCTAATGAATAAAATATTTCGAGGACATGTAACGTCCGCCAACACACACAGGAAGGTCTAATTTCTCCATTCTCTCAGAAATGAAACTAGACCTGTGGTCAGTTCTAGGAAGTACCTATATTATAGCTCTAACTATACTTTACAAAATTATCACAGTATGTTTTTTAATTATTTTAAATTATTGAACTGTACTGTATTTATATATATATATATATATATATATATATATATATATATATATATATATATATATACTATAATGTACATAAATCATTGTATGCCAAATTATAGCTACCACATTCCTTATTGATGACATAATGGTAGAAAGCTGGTAAGACCAGTACTTACTTATATTATTAACACAGTGCACGGCACCTAGTCGTTAACAATACCGAACCATGTTTGCCTTTTAAATTTCTTTTACCTACATGTGACGGAGATTAATGTATTTACACTGATTGAAATACTTACGTTTACATACTCGTCGACCCGAGTATTCACCTGTTCTTCACTCGATGTCGGTATTTCGGCACGAGTAAAAGGAATACTCATGTATATTCGTGTCGGTGTTTACATACGCGACATTACTCGTTTGACCCGTGATATTTTAAACTTTATTTTTCTTATAAATAATTAAAAATAATAATAATTAAAATACCTACCTACTGTGATAGATTGGAGTAATAACTCTACTATTTTTATAGAACTTTAGCATGGAAACCCCTGGATATGGGGTCCTAGAAATCAGTTTCATATAAATATTAATAAAAATAAATATTTTAGCATTATCATCATCATTACAGCCCTTCACTAGTCCACTGCTGAACATAGGCCTCCCCAAGGAATACATAAAGCACATTTCTAAACCATCTGCATCCATCGACTCCATCCTGCATGACTTGGTAAGAAGTCGTTTCATCCAGTGGGGGAGGGGGTCTACAAACGGGGGGGGGGGGGGGACGCACTTCATCGTTTAAAAGATCTACGTTGAGTGAATACAGACGAATGTGTAAACGTGTCGTACTCGTCCACGAATACATACATAGTGTATTTAAGTAATAAAATTTTTAAAAGAAAGTAAAATGAAATTTCGTATGAAAATATGTAGTAAATTACCTGCGAATTTCCTCTCGATGTTTCCTTTAACGATTAAGCACTTTGCAAATTAACAATTAAATTGTGCTGATAAGTCTCTTATACAACTTTTCTTATACAACATTTGACTTAAATTACATTTGAATTCCAGTATTACCAATCAGATGTGTTACACAATAGGTACTTTTTAAATGAAGCCAAACCCTGCTGCACTGAGCTCCCTAATTTAAACTAAATTTTAATATATTTAAATATTTAACGGTGTAAATGTATAATTGCAGCTTCGTCAGTTATTAACAATAATAACATGTTGACTATGGGTTACAATGAATCAGTCTCAGACAGTAATCATATCTCAGCACGTAATATAAGAGAAGATAAAACGCAAGGCGATGCAGGAAAAACATGCGGTAAATAATACCATTTCTATACCTATGTTCGGTATTATTTATACCTTATCATTTTTATTTAAAATATACACTATGAAATTCATGACAGCACGTCGTGGTCCTGGGTCAGATTCAGCCGAAGACAACATTAAAAAAAAAGAATTGTGGTTTTTCGGTTCTGTTTGAATTGTAATTGTCGCCCGTGCCTTTTTAACTTTACAGTCTAGCCTACCTTCGATCCTATCGCTTATAGAATGTAAATCGGTTAACTATGTATTATGACGAGTAGCTATGGATTATGACGAGCGCCTGTATCAGCGAGAACTCTTTTTATGCTGTTTTATAACTCACGATAGCTTACAATAGCACTCGGAGTCGGAAGTCACCTCACTATTTAACATAGGCCTTGATCCTTGTTATTTAGCCTCGATCTTCAACTTTTACATTTCGAATTCCCGCCAACCTTGTCAGATTACACTTGGTATTAATATGGACAAATTGACATATACTTATGATAATACTTAAGATAGTTATTTATTTAATTCGACATACACCGTATACAATGTATATATAACATCCAGTTATACAATAGATAATCCCAAAATTAAACGTAGTTTAATATATTATACAGATGGGTCAAAAATTTTAATTTATATCAAAATAATTCCTAGCCTTGAGTTAACAATACACTTTGAGTGGCCACTACTCCAGAAACTGGTATCACAGATTCACAGATGATTTAAACATTTTTTACTGACTGCTCGTTAGTCAAGTGATCGTCATCGCGACTGCTGGTATCAGATTCGAAACCCGGGTAAAAAAAAACAAAAAAAAAACAGTTGTTACGTATTTCTGTCAAGAAATACTCTGTAACAGCCCGAAGTCAAGAAGTTGACTAATTCTATTTTTGTAATTGTACCTATCTAAATGGGTTAATGAAAACCTGTTTTTTCTATTACTGCAGCTATATTGTAATAAATATTATATTTAATTATTATTTAATGTGATTTTTTTATCTCAATTTAAAATAAATTAAGATTTTATTTGCTTAGCTCGAATTGAATTTCGAATATGTAATGTGTTCAAAATAATAAAAAGTGCGGTTGCCAACCTGCTTGGCAAGCTTGGCAACTATAGGAGATATCCCTCACTGATTGCTGATTTTAATTGAATGTAATTGATGCATGGATAGATAATTGGCGTTTAGTTCTTTTGTATTAAAATGAAACATTTCATGCAAAAAAGCAAATATCTGCACGGACTTAGTAACATTATTTAATCCGTGACTGAGTGTTAGACGCGTGAGAGATTATCTAAATATTCTTTTCTATCCTAATACTAGTTTTTTGTTTTGCAAAGTATTATTTGCCGTAAACTATATCGCCAAGTTGTGTTGCAGAAATTCAAACAAGTGATGAAATTTCAGACTTTAATAAATCTGGAGTTGTGGAAAACAATCAGCTTAAGAATGTACTACACACAGAAAATAAAAAACAAGACCTTGCACATAGAATTTCTAATACATCTGTGTTTTTTAAAATGCCAGAACGAAAAGGAGTTGAAAACTTTACATGCATTTTATTAAAAATGCAAAGTGACTTGTCCACATTAAGCAATAAATTGTCACAACTTGAAAATAAAATAAATTTTTGAAGGTATTTTTTATTTTAAATAAAATAGTTTTATACTAAAATATGCATATATATTTTACCCAATATACAATAAATATTCAAATAAATAATAACATTAATGCAACATAGCCATTTTAATGAGTGTATATCAAGTACATAAGTTATTAAATGAATCATACTGTACAAAGTACACATTCACAATTGAAACTACCTACATTAAAATAGAATTATTTACAATTCATGCCAACTGTTTTTTATTATTTATAAACCACTAGCCTATTTAGGGTTAACATTGTGACTAGGAATTTATTTTCCTGAAATACTAACATTCGTAAACATATTTTATACCCATATTTTTCTTATGATTTATTAAATTCTTTAAAAAAATAAAACAAATATAAAAGCAGACTGCACAATAAACATTTTTGGTAAAATCTGACTGATTTTTTATTCTATATATTACAGTATAAGTCTGTGCTTATCATATTATTATATTTAATGCCCTGTACTAACTGTACGTTATAAATTTTTCTCTTAATTTCAAAAAAACGTTATAGAGGTAAAGTATCAACAGTGACCATATATAATTTACATTTAAATACTGCCTTCTAATTAGCGATTTTTCTTTCTGGAACAAAAATAAGAAGTACCCATTAAAAATAGTTGTGTATATCGTTAGTGGTTTCTGTGGATGTCGTAAAAAGCAACTAAGAAAAATCCTTTAACCTTGGAAAGGTGGTAGTACAATTTTTCCATTAAAAACCATTTACATTAAAGACATTTGTTTCGCGACCTTGTCGCCCTACAGATAGAATTCGAGTCTTGGGAGACATCGCCCGACATAGCAAAATTCGTGTGAGGCAATAAGGTCATGGGACAAATGTCTCCTAATGAAAATGAGGCTTTAACATCTCATACCCTCCCTGAACTGTCGCACGTAAATGTACCACGACTGTTCGCGACATGTCTCTCGACTTTGTCTCCTAGTGAATACAAAGCCTTAACATCTAATGCAGATAAGAATAAAAACCAGTATTAGGGAGCAGCATTAAAAGTAAGAGATATTTGGTAATACTGTGTAACCAGGACAACAATCCAACATAATCAGAGAGAGATCAGGCAAAGGACCTCTTACTAACTTATAGCTGGTAGAGCCATGCTGCTGTTATATTAGTAGTATAGTTGTAGCACAAATGGGTCGGCTCGACCGGGGAAGGACCACACTCCACAGAATACCAGCGTAAATAGTAGCTTAATGCTACTGCATTTCGTATGGTGAGTGTAGAGAACCGGAGACCCTTTTTACTGGAAACGAGATATTCCATCTTAGTCCTCACGGGTGACAACGCATTTGCATTTTGATTCGTAATAGGATAGATGTAAATGTCTATGGGCCACAGCAACCACTTACCATTAGGTGGACTGTGTGCTAGTTTGTCACTATATCCTATATAAAAAAAGTACATAGAAAAATCCAATAATTAATTTTGGCCCAACCCGGGACTACATGACTTACAGTCATGCTTACGGCCACTAGAATAATGAGGCAGTCTAATTGAATATGAGGTTATAATAGCAGCATTATTCTGATTTAGTAAGTAGTGTGAATGACAAGAAGTGGAGACCCTTGTTGCAGCTAATGAGGCATTCCATCTTAGTCCTCAAATGTAGGTATATGTGGGCGACTGCATTCACTTACTATCAGGACTTGTCTGTTTATTCATTGGGACCTTTACTTGTGTAACAAACTACATTCAAACAATGTTATAATAGCAATCTTAATAACTTAATTAACAATTTATTAAATAATATATAAAGTAACTTAAACTGTTTTCAGATCAAGCTAAAACTTTTATGGAATCACTGTTACACTAAAAAAAAACTTATTCAATAAACAGCAAAATATTATGGTATATATAATCAAGCTACAGCCCAGCCTTGGGGGTATTGTATTATAATTATAACTTGACCACAAGGGTAGTGCCATGACTTGGGCGCAACAGATTTGGTGCAGAAAGGGAAAACAAGAACAGGCTTTACATAAATTCAAAAATACTATATAGATTGTGCATGTCACATGGTGCATGTCACATGTTGCATTACATACAAATCAAATTTGATTACTTATTTTTTGAAATTAGATAAAAATCACCAATCATGATCAAACCTGTGCCCATTTCATTTTTCTATTATTTTCTTGTTAAATATTAAACATAACCATGTTCTACATTTAAGGTATTATCCTCATGTCTCAAAAGTCACAGCCATATTAATTACAATTTATTTATGGTACTTCTTCCTCATAACAACCTTGACTCACCTTATATTCAAGCTGGTAGATACTCTTTGTGCAGCATTTAGTCATGACCATAAAGCCACACATCCTTTCCTGCATACCCAATGCGTATTCAATGCTACGAATCAAATCATTTGTCTTCAGCACCAATAGTGCCTCACGATTCACATGCTCCAAGCATTGCGTTACATGATGTAAGAAATTTGGCAGCTCATTTTGGAATGTTGATTTCTGAAAAATTAAAATTCTAAATGAATGTGTAATTTGTAACACAATTATAATTATAGTAAAAACCCAATAATTCAGTTTTGTGGTCAATATGTATCTATAGATCAAATGATAATGATAACAGTCTGGTTCCAAGCCAATTTTCTAGTAATATAAACAATTTATTAGTGCAAAATATTTATGTTATTGTTTACTTTGAGGAAAATGGGTTTATAAAATAAACTTTGGATGCTACCAAAATTGACAACCATTGTTTGTAATTTCGATCAGCCATTTATATTGAGCAATTATATGAGAATGTTATAAATGTTGGTGGGCATTTAAAATTGTTATGAATTTGATTCATTTTTTATATTATACTCAGGTCAAGTCAAGAGATGGATTAATTTGTTGAGTTCTCAATACGGAAATAAAGATGTATCCTAGGAATAGGGCCAAACCATACAATAAAATTACTGGAACAAACCTCTTGTGATGAGGGCTTTGTTCTATCAATACCCTTCATTATCACATCCCATGGTCTACCTGTAACCATGCAGGCAAATAAACCGTATAGATCTTTAGGTATGCCAAGTTCCTCTGCATGTATTTTCATCTCATCTCTATCTCTTCCTATTATTGATAACCATAATTTAGAATAATGGTAACGGAATTTCTCAGAAAGTTGCTGTAATATTAAAATATGGTTATATTTCAAAAACATACATTTTATAAATATACATTTATATTTAAAAAAGTAAGTTATACGTATATATAAACTATATTAAGTAAAAAATTTAAGAAGTATAAATAAAAATCACATAAAATAATAAATTAAAATTTATTATCACAATTAGTGCTTTCAGAGATTTAACAAGAGTTTTATGTACAAGCTGATGTTTCTGCCTGCACCAATGAAATTGTTCATTGCTTTCCAGTACAGATTTACGAGAATAAAATGAAAACATCTAAGGAAACCAGCATGCCTAGAACAGTAATATTTCAAAATCATTTAAAGTTCAACATGCACTGGAGCAATTCAATGGACTAAATGCTCCATTTCCATTTTAGAAATAAATGAAAGCCTGTGACCAGCAAGGGGGATGTTTATAGGCCATAACTTTATAATTATTTAAAAGTAAAAAAGTAAAGTTACAGCCTATATACATCCCACTGCTGAGCACAGGCCTCCTCTCATTTTTGAGAGGGTTCCAGTTCAGAGGTATAATTATTTAATGACTAGTAATTTAAACATTTTATTAAAACAATACATTTGCTGATATTATAAATATAATATTTAAAATATTAATTTATATTTTTAAGTAGCTTGATGAATCACAATTTGAGACTGCAGAAGTTCTGCCATTTTAAAATTAATATTACATTTTACTTACAATAGACCTATTATGATAATCACTGACTATTATACAAAAATGGGTTATTTTTTAAGCTAAAACACAGCAAACACAGCAAGTATATTCAACATATTTAAATAATTTTTAATGTTGATTCTACTTTATTTGCTAAGATACTTGAACATACAACTTACAGCATACAAACCATGATCCAATAAATATACAGTAACATCCTTATCTTCTGGTTCTTTTTTTACAAGTATATTTCCTGGATGTGGATCACTATGCACGAATCCACTTACAAAGATCATGTGTGAATATAAATCACCAAGTTTCAAACAAAGGTCATATTTATCTATCTTGTATTTCTAAAACATAAATTAATAAGCTAATTACATTACATGTAACATAAAAATATAGATTATGGACAATCTTTTCTAATTATCAATGTGTAAATTTGTTTTACTTACATCAATGTACTTAACATCATTTACTTGTCCACCAGTAACATATTCCATAACCAACACTCTCTCTGTGCTGTAATCCCAAAATATTTTAGGCACCTTTAACCACTTATAATCTCTGAACAGAGCAGACACTTTCTCAGCATTTTTACCTTCTTGCAAAAAATCCAATTCTTTTGTTATATTCTTCTTTGTTTCATCAACTAGCCATTGCATTTGGAAATCAGGAAACACCTTTGACATTGTGTTTATGATGAACTCCATCCATTGAAGATCAATTTTTGTATTTTTTCTCACAAAATGGTGTTGTACTTTTACAGCCACTTCGGTTCCATCTTTCAATCTAGCTCTATGAACTTGTGCGAGAGAAGCTGTGCCAAGTGGTTCTGGGTCAAACTCAATAAATAATTCACTAGGCTAAAAAATTCATACATAATTAAACCATTTTAAGATGCAAAAAAAATATATAAGATATTATTATATACTCACATCCTTTTTTAAGTCTTCTTTTATAACTTTGTAAAGTTCATCCACAGTATTTTTAGGGGCATCTTTATGCAAAATACGCATTGTTGTTACATATTCAGTAGGCAGCAGGTAGTCGAGAGCTCCTACGTGTTGTCCAACTTTTATGTACACACCTTTATTTGCTATGCATAATTCAAGCAATTTCTCAGCACCGATTTGATGAGCTTTACTTTTTGTTTGAATATATTCCGTAGAATTTTTGTCCCATTGTCTGCTATATAACATAGTCTTATAAGTTTTGCCTATATCAAAGGCTGTATATGCTGCTCTCGTGAGCCTTACAATAGCCAACGAATCATAGTCGGTCTCATGATATTTCATAACAACAACAGCACTCCCTACTGCAACACCTCCACAAAGTCCATATCGAACAAATCGTGACAAATTTCTATAAACCATCTTGATCCATCACATACACCACTCCAAATCTAACCTGCCAGACCCATGTATGATTACGAAATTATGATAAAGAACACTCCCAAACACTCACTTCAGACAACTTATAATTATATACAAGGAGAATACATAATCACATTGTTTAAAATATAAATTAATTTACTAAAATTAATAGTATTTCGTAATAAGTACTAGCACAGAATTGGTGGGTATCTGTTATTAAGGTATGTTCCGAAATACAACGCAGTGTACTGTCCAATGCAAATGACGTCATGAGTCGACGATATACTGGTGAATCGTTCCAAAACATTGGACAGTATATGACGTCATACTTTTGCGCCATTTGGAAAAGTGTTGACGATTATTTTGTCATTTTGTGCTCCAAAAATCATTATATCCTCCTAATGGATATACCATCCATTATTCTATAATTTTTTTGTATTTGAATAAATAGAAACAAATTCTGGCATGCTTCATTCGGCAAACACACAATTAAAAATTGTTTATTATGGCCGGATATCCGACACAATATGGCGGAGGCACGCTAATACAATAAAGTGTCAAATGATGACGTCTTTGCATTGGACTGTACATTGCGTTGTATTTCGGAACATACCCAGCATGTGGGTATGGTATCAGGCACAGATAACCACAGAACACTATTACTCCTATCGGAGGCAGATAACTATATACTAGTCAGGCATAGATTACTGTGTACATACTAGTAGTCAGGTATCAGGTCAGGCAAGGTCAAGCGCTTATTACATTATACAATTTTTAGGAAATCTAATTAGGAAATAGGAAGGTGTAATCGTAGTTAGAACAGTTAGGATCCGATTTAGTCAAATTGGAGGTCCCAATCTGTTAATATGTTTGGATACCAAACTTAACAAATATTCAAATTGTTTATAGGTGGTAGAGCCATGAACTAATTGAATAAATTGAATGTTATGGATTCCACAGCTCCTTTTAAAGTGGGTGTTTTCTTACCTACACAACAGAAAGCTGATGGTTGTAATAATTAATGGTTTTCAATCTGAGGCATTTATAGCATATTCCGGTGTGCCACAGGGCTCACACTTAGGGCCAACTCTATTCAACATTTTTATAAATGATGTGGTAAATTGTTTCCTGAACAGTGATGTACTTCTCTTTGCAGATGATTTAAAATTTTATTAATAAATAAAAACTGTTAATGATGGAAACTTATACAAAATGATATTAATAGGTTAGTCACCTGGTGCGAGCTTAATAATGTTTTCCTTAATCGTGAAAAATTTTATCAAATATCTATGAACGAAAAGATCCATTCGATTTATAATGAAAATAATATTAGTGAAATTGTCATAAAAACACTAATATTATTCGTGATTTAGGTACTTAAATTGCGACGGACCTCGACAGTCTTTTTAAAAACACAATTTAAAATATAAAATGATTTAATGTACTTCCGAAGGTGGTTAGTTACAGAATGAATTAAATTTTATGTTAGTAAAATAAGTCTAAACTATTATCATATCGTCACGGGATATGTGTGGGAGTTGTTTGTCTTACAATACACAGAAGTCTAACTTGGCTTCTTATGAAAATGCTGATGTGGTTGTTTGGAATATTGAGCCAGGGACGGATTGAGGCGATATAACTCCTCCCTCCACAAGTTCGGGATTATCCTCGGGATTATCCCGAATTTTCCACATTTTACAGATTTTAGTGTATTTATGTTTAAAAATAGTACTTAAAATAATTAATATTATGACTAAGATTATAATGTTCACTAAGCTAACACTTTTATTAGTAATTTCACTTTTTCCGTTTTCACTTAACTCACTGTTACTAATTTCTCCCATTCTTCTCTGCAGTAATAGGTTCAGGAACTGTACGTCTGCTATATTAATTCCATCGAGGTTCATAGGCTTCTTCAGGGTACTTGACGAGTCGAATAATATCTTTGGTAAGTTTATCATTGGCTGTTTAAGGAAAGTTATTTCTTTACCTTGAGTCTGATGTCTTTTCAGTTCGTATCATTTGATTTTAACCTTACAGTTGTCATCTATAGTCAAGAGATAGGTTCCTAGTAGAATCTCCTGGCTTACTTCACTGTCACAGAATTCAGTCATGGCTGTTTCAGTATTTGAGTAAACTATCCAGCGGTTTGGTTGTATGAGGTAGATCTTCACATTTTCAAGCGTGACAGGGATCGGGTGACAACTTGAGATATTTGTGTGAAACTGCATGATTTCTATGACAAAGTTGATATCGGTGAAGGGTTGTATGTCGTTCTCGTAACACAGAAATCGACGTTCATCGACCTCGCGGCATGACTGAGAGAGTGGTGTTGCTTTCAACGCTTTCACGAGTAGGTAAGGATTTTTAGGTAGGATGAGAGTCGTCTGGCCATTATGTAATAAAGGTAAAGGGATTAATTTATAATAGTTAAAAATTTAGTTTCTAATTAGTGGAATACTCATAATGAATTTTATCTGATTTTGTTTTATATAGGCTTTTATCTCGATACATCTTTCTAATTTTACCATATTTTCGTAAGTAACAGGAAACACTTATTTATCAGTTTGTTCTATTTCCTTCGAGAACGTTATACGTTTTCCGTATCAATAATTGATTGATGCAGTATGTTAATTTTACTAAAAGCAATGGCCGTTTCGATTTCATTTAAATGGGAATAATTGCATTTTGTTCCGTATGTAATTTATTTATTAATCTTTCATATTTAAGAACGTCATCATTATCTAAGTTACCTGTGATAGTTTTTTTCAAAGAGCTAATCGGATTGAAGAGACCTCTTTTGATTCGTAATGAAGGAATTAATTGTTTAAATTGGTCGATGGTAACATTCAAAGTATAATCGGTTTGATATTGAACGGTTATAAAATCTGAATCAAATAATTTAATATCGAAACAATTTTGAACATGCTTTTTAAGCCACTCATATCTATGCATACTTGATTCTAATTCCTCGTAAATTAAATTTAAATCTAATATCTTAATAACTATCCAATTATCATAATTAACAAATGCTTGACCTTCGTCAACAGGTAACAATCCCGGGTTCTTTTCAATGCGAAGCAGATGAAGGGCCTGGATTCGGTAACAACCCCGGGTTTTTGTCAATGCGAAGCAGATGAAGGGCCTGGATTCCCCTTCTGGATGGATCTGGATCATCCTGGATCATTCGAATCACCAGTAGAAATAATCTGTGAAGGACGTTTAATGTCTTTAATAGGATCATTTGTGATACGTTTATTAGTTTCAATGGGAACTACATTTCTTTTTATAGCACCGGTGACATGAGCCTTTTGGTAACGTGGTTTATCCTTACCCCGTCTTGTATTAACACCTTTTATGAACACAGTATCGCCTATATCTATATCGAACTGAGATTCACCTGCGTGTTTCTCTCTCACTGTATTTTTTTTTTGTCAATTAATTTATTTGTAAGATGTTCATATAAATATTTGGTCCTTTAGCATGTTCTCTTACTAACTGTTTTGTGAACTGCTTATCAAAGTCTACGGCGAATGTGATGGATTCGGTGTGCCCGAATACTACTTCAAATGGCGTGAGATCCGTTGAAGAATGAATTGAATGGTTGTATGACATAACAGCATACGTCATCACTGATGCAACGTCTGTAATTTTGTGTTCATATTTCGCAATACGGTAAATTTCAGTAATAGTTGAATGGAACCTTTCGATAAGTCCCATAGAGTTGGGGTTGTGCGCGGTACCAATGTGTAGATTGATTTGGTATAATGTAAGCATCTCCTTTAAATGTACATTGTTGAATTCCACACCGGGATCTGAACTAATTTTGGATGGGATTCCGTAAAATGAAAAATACTTTATTAAAGCTCTTATTACTTCCGTGGTAGACCTACTATTAATTTCGATTGCTTGACCCAATTTGCTGAACGCTTCTACTAAGGTTAGAGAATATTTACCTTCTATTAAAAAAGTATCAATGAAAATTTCTTGGAATGGTTTAGACTGGGTTTGAGTCAGTTGAAGTTGATGTTTTAGGGGTTTACGGTCGTATTTCATTTTCTTACAAATCTCACATGAGTTTATGATACTCGCTACTGTTTGTTCCATATTATTCCAATAAAACGTTCGCCTCAAATATACTAATGTTTCCCTAATTCCCTATGGCAATTTTTACCTAAATGATAATTAAGGACTACTTCGCGTTGCTCGTTTTCATCTTCTGCATAGACTACTCTCTTAGTACATTCATAAAATTTTACAGTATCGTTTTTGAATAATTGCGTTGTGACTTCGGAAAACTGCTTACGGTGTATGACATCTTCAAAATAAAAAAAATTAATTTTGGGTCTTATTTATTCCTTCAGGAATTTTTTTATTAATTCCAAATTATTTAAAGGTAAGTGAACTTCCAATATATTTTGTTTATCCCTGGACAAGTTTTTAACTGAACATTCATTTCTGTTCCACGTATGAACGAGTATTTGGTTTGGTTTCGTATCAATCGCTTCCTGAAGGATTAAGATTCCTGCCGTGTCTACATCTTTAGCCGAATGTATTGTATTGTTACTACTATGTCTTTCGGAGGCTGTGATGGTGCTACTAGTTGGAGATGGTATCGAATATGGGGATTGTGTACCGTGTAAGGAGGGTATACTCAAAGTATCCGAATCCGATGATACTGTTACTGTGTCCATTGCCTGTTTTGAATGGCCTAGCTGTACAATTTTGGGGACTATATTACTCAATTGCTGTTGAAGGTTTCTTTCGTTTCTATCTATATTCACTTGCATAGAGATATTGTCGTTATCATTTAAGGCGTTTATCCTAATTCTAGATAAAGCATCAGCGTTACAATTCTGTTTCCCGTTCTTATATACTATTTCGTAATCAAATTCCGATAGGCGTAACTTCCATCTAGTAAGTTTACTATTCGGTTCACTAATGGAATTTAACCAGGCTAAAGGCCAATGGTCGGGGTAGATTGTAAATTTCTTTCCATA